TAAGGGTCATGAAAGATTTATAATGGGTCACCAAATTCACTAGAGCTTGAGGGTTACAAAGTAAAGAAGTTTGAACTGAGTTCTGTGTGAAATTATATGAACTAATTCAGAATGTTTAGATGAAGGAAACTTTCTTTTTGGAGGGCAAAAATTTTTAATGATAGTTCTATTGAAAACCTCCATCTGCTCCCTAGGTTGTGCTCTGTGTGTGGTGGTTACAGGAGAAACAGCTCTATTTTTGTCGTTCTATAAGATCCACATACTATCGGAAAGAAAAAGTGCTTTTTTTTCAGACTGTCTGCAGTTCTTTATCATAAATTGACTCAGATCAATGCAAAAGTCAGACTGGGTTTGACTATTTCACATATTAAACAAAAATATATAAATAAAAAAATGGCACAGTGGGTAGCGATGTCACCTCACAGCAAGAAGGTCGCTGGTTCAGCTGGGTCAGTTGGCATTTCTGTGTGAAGTTTGCAAATTCTCCCCGTGTTCATGTGAGTTTCCTTCAGGTGCTCTGGTTTTGCCCCACAAGTCTAATGACATGCGCTATAGGTGAAATAAAGACTGAACGTGGTGGACAGTTGAAAACCCCTATATGCTGGATTCAGTGACTGGTGCACCTCTGCCCTGCTGCTGTTTGGTGTTTGTCTGCGTCCATACATGAGATGTACACCTCATAGACGTTACAATAGAAAACTTAGTCTGCTCATAGTCTGCTTTGGTCCGTTGTTTCAACACAACAATGTGGCCATCAATTGCAATGTCTGTAGGTACTGCCAGTCTCTGTTCAGGATTTGTGTGAAGTATCACCAGCAATCTATTAAAATTCCATTCAATTTCTGAAATTTGATAATGAGCTGAACTCTCATTCCTCTCTATGCAGGATTGAATGAACACAATATTTAGCCTTATTCTACTTTGGAGAAGAGGAAAACAATGTTGCAGGTTGATATGGCTGTAGTGCAATATAAAGTAATAATATGTATATGCTAGTTTAATACAAGGTTCTTCTTATCTGCTATATTAGGAAAACACAAATGAGTCAAAGTTTGTACCACTTTCCGATTGATTGATTGATTGATTGATTGATTGATTGATTGATTACACACAGAGAGAACAGAGATATGTGATGTACACTTTGGATGTATCTACCACTATAGCTGTTCAGTTTGGTTCTGCACACTCTGCAAACACATTAGTAAATGCACTTGTCACAACCTCCATTGTTAATGTGGCTGCAAAATGTGATTGTGACTGCCACAGTTAGCTGAACTGTGTGTACAAAATAGGATTTAACACTAAAATGGGACCTGGCAACCAAATTTTCTACAGTGTCTACAGTGGTGATTCCTGTTTAAATGGCACCATGGTGAAACCACCCCAAATATACCCCCTGCCCCATCCCCTCAGAAATAAAGAGGACACTACGTGGTTGACTTTATTTATATTTGAATATATATTTTAGATATACAGTTAAAGTCAGAATTATCAGACCCCCTGAATTATTAGACCCCTGTTTATTTTTTTGCCCTGATTTCTGTTTAAGGGAGAAAAGATTTCTTCAACATATTTCTAAACAAAATAGTTTTAATAACTCATTTCTAATAACTGATTTATTTTATCTTTGCTATGATGACAGTAAATAATATTTGACAAGATATTTTTCAAGACAGTTCTATACAGCTTAAAGCGACATTTAAAGGCTTAACTAGGTTAATTAGGTTAGGTAGGCAGTTTAGGGTAATTAAGAAAGTTATTGTATACTGATGGTTTGTTCTGTAGACCATTGGGAAAAAATATAGCTTAACGGGGCTAATAATTTAGACCTTAAAAGGTTTTTATTTTTTATTTTTTTATTAAAGCTGCTTTTATTTTAGCCAAAATAAAATAAATAAGACTTTCTCCAGAAAAAAAAAAAAAAAAAAAAAAAATGTATGTATATATATGTATATATGTATATATATATATATATATATATATATATATATATATATATATATATATATATAATTTAACATATTGTGAAATTTTTCTTGCTCTGTTAATCGTACTTTGGGAAATATTTAAAAAAAATAAAAGGGGGCTAATAATTCTGACTAAAATATTTAATATACATACATTTGAATTCATGTATTTATTTATTTTCAAGATATATAACAATGTCTTATTTGTCAATTAGACAAATGTCTTTATTTTAAATAAATCCAATTATGAATATTATAATTATACAAATATTATTTAAAATAAATAACAGACATCAATCCTAAATGTAACTGGAAAACAATGTAAAGACACAACTTGAGTGACAAGCAAAGATCACAAATGTTTTGCATGAATATCATTTATGACAATTCTATAGAATACAAAAAATATTTGTTTAATTGAATTATCTGACCCGACTCATGGCCGAGAATTAATGTTATGAAGTCATAGTTACCTGCCTGACTCATTATCCTTCCTTTCTGCTTCATAGCCATGCTTTTACAAAGTATCATAATCATACTATATAAACTTTAGTTTTGTCAACTTGTCAAAACTCACTGCGTCCGTCAATAAAAGGCTGTTATGCCGGTTTCACAGTGCATGAGTGGCATGTATTTTATCGGCGTGCATGTAAACAATCACAGTGCATGTGGGGCACACAGGAATGGTTTTCTGCACGCATGCGTCAATTTGTATTTACCAGCGTTGTTTCTGTTGCACATAAATAGTGGTGTAAAGCAACTAATTACAAATACTCAAATTACTGTAATTGAATAGTTTTTCTCAGGAATTGTAATTAATAAGTAGTTTTAAAAATGTGTACTGTTACTTTCCGTTGAGTACATTTTTTACTGCAATAATCAGTACTTTTACTCCACAACTTTTCTTCAACCTTCAGTCACTACTTTATTTTTTCTTGTCTATGGGGATTAGAAAAATCAGTCCTGTGATTCCTGTCCAATCAAATCTCACAAAGGTAAATTGCATCATAATGAGCTACCTCAAAATAGGGTTGATCAAAATACATATATTAATGCAATTCAAATATATAATATATGAATTGATGTTTAATTTAAACTTATTTTAAATATATAATTATATTGTTCAATTATAATGGTTAAAAAAATATATGTATATATATTTTCTTTTTTGGCAAATAATTTTGTGGCTAATTTTGTGGCTACTGTTTTGGCACCAGTACTGTTGTAAAAGTATCGATTTAGTAGTTTTCGGTATTGAAATAACACCAAACCCTACCTCAAAACATGTGGGCTTTTTAGTTGCAGCAAACTGTTTGGAAGCATTAAGTTTACAAGGTGTTCAAAATATTTACATGCATTGACCCAGAGACTGTTAAGATGCAATTCACTGATGAGAGATGTTTACTGTAAAATGATCGAAATGGCCTTAAACATCCAGCAGGCACAAGATGTCAACATGATGTCAGAATTAAGTTGTATCCCAGTGTAATGGGGATGTTGCATTTTGTTTTACCATGAAAATCGTGGAAGTGTCAGCATGTGATGCCAAAATGACATTGGATGTTTGCTCGACATTGGATTTTGGTCACTTTCCAACACAACCCAAAGTTAACCAAATATCAACGTCATTTGATGTTGTTATTGAACAAATAACGTTATCCTTAGATGCTGGCTAGACAATCGAACCTAATAGTAATGTCGCATGATGTTGTGTGCCTGCTGGCCAATAACTCGATGCACTACAGAATGTTACGTTTACAAACACATGCACAAATTACATGTAAACGCATCAGCTTTTAAAAGCGTAATACTCGCTACTCACTACACTTGAGTACTTTTGAAATGGCAAGTTTTTACTCATCCTTTGAGTAATATTTACAACAGATACTTTTACTCTACTTACTCTACATTTTTAGGCAAGTAATGGTACTTTTACTTGAGTATGATTTTTCAGTACTCTTTCAACCACTACACATAAAGAATAACAAACATGAGCATACAAATGTGAAGGCCCCCTAACTTATTAATTCTGGGATTACTACTCTAAATTAATACACTTGCATGAAATAAATCATATCTCAGAATTCTTACCGGAACTTTTTTTTTTGCACCGTCTCCCCATGCCTCCCCCCAGCAAGATACCGCCCTGGGCGATCACCCATATTGCCCATGCCTAAATCTGTGTCTATGAGGCCTGTACGAAAAGTCTTGCCAAACAAAGTTTTGCCACAGCACTGGTGGCAGTTTTGGAAAGTTTTCAGATTCTCATCCACTTCACTGAAGTTTCTTTTGCACAAAGAACAATGAAGCATCTGTTTATTATCATAACAGACGTTCTTTAAACTTGCAAGCAGTCATCAAATTTACTTCTAAGATACTTAGAACTGCATTAAACCATTTTCAACAATCAGAGCCTAATTCTAAAACACAGCTTGCCTGGTTCTATTGCTCATAAACACATGAGCACACAAACACACACACGCACACACTCAAACAAACACGAACACGCACACGTGCACACATACAAACATACACACACACACATATACACACACACACACACACACACACACAGTGGGTATCAGGGAAAACAGGCAGAGGACCAAAGCGTGCAACCACGGCTTGAGACAGATGTCCCTCGGGAAACAAGATAGAAGCGAGCTTAATAAAAAAACAAGCTCCTACAGTGGAAGACTAACTCCAGATGCCTGTGCTACTCCACCAAGGGTCCAGCTTAGTGGAGGGCCCTTTTCTGGCCCCATCCCTAGAGAAAACTAGTGTCTAGCCACCACAGGCCCTCTCCAGATGTTCAGAGGAGAACAGCGTGAGTACAAAGGGTGCTTGTAAGAAGAATGGTGTACTCGAGGGTAGAGGGAGATAATAATGGTTGCACAAATGTGCTGCAATCATTTCCAGCCATAAGTGAGGATAAACAGGAAGCGCAGATGAATATTCATAGGTAATTATTTGGATGAATGGATAAATGAGGAGGTGGGTGTTCAGATGGACAAATGCAAGGACGGATGGACTCAC